ACCATCTCTCAATTGTGTGTAATGAAACAATTAATATGTCGCTAATGATAATTTGAAAAATCGTTTCATATTCTTTAATTGAATATATTTCTGAACAAAAAAATACAATTGTGAAATAAAAGTTCGAGAACAAACACTATTTCTTTTCTAACAATCAGTTTTCACATTTCTTTTTCGCTTTTAACGAAGCAGTTGTAATATAAGAAACCACAAGTATTTTGATGGAGTTCAATAAAAGTTGTTTTATTTTAAACACATTATTGACAAAACAATTATGGCAATAATGCGGTTGGCTAATTGAATTAAATTTTAGGTAAAAACAAAAAAGAAAAAGTAGAAAAGTTATATATTTGTTTTAAATTATCATTTTGATTAACGAAATGAAACTTAAACTTTGATACAAATAACGTAACTGAATACTAGGTGCAATTAATAGGTTGAAAAGATCAGAAATTATAAAGTAGAGTTTACACAGATCACACTGTTTTCTACAAATATTTTTATGTTTGTCGAGGTTTCGTGATTCGTATCTCCATCAGCATGCAGTATACTATGCCAACTATATTTTTCTAAAAGCTTTCTTTGCCTCAAATCAATGAATATATATTTGTTTGTTGAGACATTTACTCAATAATCCTATAGAAGCAATTAAGCAATTATGTTTCTTTTTACAATGTTAATTATGCGTTTCCATTTTTGGTTGAAAAACTCTTTTGTAATTTTTACAATAATTTAATTTACTTTACTTTAGTTCCTAAATTGCTTTTTAGATAGTTAAATCCAGAATAAGAGTAAGAGTAAGTGTAAAAGTTAGAGTAAGAGTGAGAGTAAAAGTAAGAGTGAGAGTAAAAGTAGAGTAAGAGTAAGATTAAAAGTAAGCGTGAGAGTAAGAGTAAGAGTAAAAGTTAGTGTAAGAGTTGGAGTAAAAGTGAGAGTAAGAGTAAGAGTAAGAGTAAGAGTAAGAGTAAGAGTAAGAGTAAGAGTAAGAGTAAGAGTAAGAGTAAAAGTAAGAGTAAAAGTAAGAGTAAGAGTAAGAGTAAGAGTAAGAGTAAGAGTAGAAGTAAGAGTGAGAGTGAGAGTAAGAGTAAGGTTTGATGTTTTGGCCGTCAGACCCTCAACTAAGCTTTCAGTATGTACTGCAGTGATTTGCAGTACTCTGACCAAAGAAATAGTGTGTTTAAGTAGAAAGCGGTTTTAATTCAGCCAGAAAACATGAATCCTTGGAATGGATTATCATTTTTTTTATTGAAAAAATACAGGAAACAAGACTCCTTTCAGCTAACCGTTTTTGTGAAAATCCAGAAAAAAAATTCTTGAACTTTTGTTGTGAAATCCAGGAAACAAGACTCCATGGACTTTAAACACTGTTGAGAAATCCATAAAAAAAAGACCAAAGTTAATGTTTGTTGTGAAAATCCTGGAAACAAGACTCCATGGACCGGTCATAAGCTACCCAAAATATTGGATCAAATCCAGGTATTCATTTTTTTAAAGAAGACTTTATGGACAATCGTGAAAATCCAGAAAACAAAACTCCTGAGACTGCTCAAAGTTAAAAACAAGACTCAGAGGCATTTTTATTTAATTTCTACAATGACTGTGAATTACAAAAAAAAATTGACTTTATAATTTCAAAAAGATTTTTTATTAATTACTTTTTCAGACGTTTCCCATGCTTTCTCTGTATATATTATATATCAAGCATTTTTTAACTTCAACTTTTTTTTAAAACGTCCAACTTAATTATTTTTAATTTAGACAGTGAGAGGGCTAATACTCAATCATTATGGACGCTATTAGGAAAAAGATGCAGTCTATGAAGGTAATCTAAATTAAAAATTTGATTTAATTAACTACTACACACAAATTTCTTTTCAAATCTTTGTCCTTGAAATTTGAAAATCAAACTAACTTTTGACAATGCCCTATGGAAATAAGCATGAAAGTTGTACTCAAATAAATTACTATTAATTGGAGCTAGCTTGCATTTTTTATACAAAACTTTGAAATTGAGAATTAATTTTATTGGAAGTTTAGATTCATCAACTTATTATAATTATTATTTTATAAACAAGAAATACCAACTAAATTAGGTTTAAGGATTTGAGAGATCAACATTTTCATCATTATTCTAACTAAAGTTCATGATACTTTTTTATTAGGAAGTGTAGAATCAAAAGATGGTTCACATTAGAACAATAAATATTGCATTCTGGTAGATCTTAACCCAAAAATTTGCAGTTTTTTGAGTTAAAAATTAGAAAATAATCAGGCCATGAAATTTTTTTTGAAACCATTTAAGAAAAAACCTGATGCATGTATGCATCTTTTTGGAATGTTTAATTCAATTTTCAAATTTTTAAAAAGCAGAATTCAAGGACTTTTTAGGAGAACATTAATTCTTTGTATTAAGGCTGAGACTGATGACCTGTACAAGAAGATTGCTGAGTATGAAGCTGCTGCAAAGGAAGCAAATAGT